CCCCCCCAGGCTACCTGTGAGAGGATCAGAGCTACAGCAGAGTTGGCTTTGGACACCGGATGACGACGGGCTGTTTTGGTTGCAGTCGTGGCTACAGGGGGAGTGGAGGGAGGGGGGGGGGGGTTGGGGGGGGAGAGGGGGGGATGGGGGGGCTCTGGGCTCTACTGCGAGGCCTGTGAGGTGGGGTTGTCGCTCTTGCTCTCCTGGCTGGAGGGGGCCTTGTTGTTCCAGGGCGAGTTGGAGCCCAGCGCCGGCGAGTTGTTGAAGCTGTCCTCGTCGTCGATGCCGTTGGCCGCGTCGAACTGCGTGTTCTCCAGCCGCGTGATCAGCCGCTCGTCCTCGTCCCCGAACTCCCCGCCCATCAGCGTGGGCTCGCCCACCACCATCACGTCCTGCCGCCGGAAAAACAGGGCGGGGCCCGTCAGCACACAAGCCACCGGGTCCCAATCCGATCCGATATCAGGACCCATGAGCCTAACACCACTTTTAGAAGTCTTTTGTGCCTTTTGTCTCAATTTAAATGTGACAGATGCACAGTTAAGAACAAAAAAAGTTTTTAAAAAGCTGTTGTGATTAGCCTTGTCCCGATCCGATATCTGGATCGGATCGGCCGGCAGGAGAAAATGCAGATCCAGACTCCAGATCCAGTTTTTTAAGTCGATCCCACACGAGCATTAGCATTAGCATCTCCTAACCCACAGCCCTGTGTCCTAACCATAGTAAATCCCTGTTCAACATCAGTCTGAGAACTAACTAAGTAGATAAATAACTTTAGACTTTAACACATTCTCTGATAGGCCGGGATCGGATCGGAGGTGAAAAAAGATGGCAGCCTGGATTAAGTTTCTGTTGCTCTGCCCGTCTCATGTTTTTACAAGACTTAAAGACACAGGTGTTTGTGTTTCACTGCTCAAAGCAGAGGATTCCCTCGTCTGACTCCTTTGCCCAAATATGTGAGCAAATATCTGTATTTAGATCCTTCAAAACAAACAAAATAAACCCTAAAATGACTTAGGGTTTATTTTGGCCAGCTGCTGAGCATTCATCAGAAATGCATCAGTTATTTGTTTGAGGTAAATACTTAAAGATATCCTCCACATGGTCAAAACAAACAAAATGCTGATTATTTATCTTTTCCGTGTACTTTCTTTATAAACTGACTGGACCAAAATATCCATACTTATTCATGTAAATACTGAGCAATTGACATGACCATTAATAAACTAAAATAAGCCCAAAATAAGCTGTAAAGTCAAATCAGACACAGGTTTTCCGTTATTATCATTATTATGGTCATTGTTAGTTTCTTTGGTCGATGTTTGGATGTGAGCTTCCCTAAAGGAACGAGGCTGGGGGGGGGGGGGTGTAGTGGCAGGGCGCGGGCCCCAGGGGGCGCCCTACTCACCGGGACCTGGCTGGACAGGGGGAAGCCGCTGCCGGGACTCTTCTTTTTGTTGTTGTTGTTGTTGTTAGCTCCGCCTCCTCCGCTGATGGTGCTGCCGCCTGACATCTTACGCTTCCGCCTTTTGTTGGGGGGTTGTCTCGAGGGTTCAGCTGCAGAAAAGGGGGGGCGGGGGGGTGAGAGGGGGTGGGGGGCAGAGAAACAGCACGGAGGTCAATTGGGGAGCTCAGAGAGGCTGTGTGCAGGCGGGTTGTGAGCAGCCGAACGGTCACCCACCGGGAGGGGCCACCATCCTCTGCCATTTCTGGAAGAGGCAGGTCTTGAGGCAGTCTCTGGGGCTGAGGCTGTACGTCTTGTGTCTGGACATCAGCTCCTGCATGGGCTCCAGGATCACACACAGCTGGAGCGGGGAAGAGAAGAGTCAAACCAGTCAGAAAAAGACCCATTAACGGCCGAAAAGTTCATCCATCAGGGAAAGACTTTTCTTTTTAAAACTGAATTTCCCCTTGGGGATCAATAAAGTATCTATTTATCTATCTATCTATTAGGTGTGGGACGGTTGACAAAATCCTCGGTTCGGTTCGATTCACGGTTTCGTGGTCACGGTTTTCGGTTCGGTTCGGTATATGTTGATTGTTAGGAAAATCTATTATGTCTTGTATAGTCAGGTTAAAACTGAAAGAAAAAAGCAGTCTGACATTATTGTGACAGTCTGAGGTTAAAAGTAGTTGAGATTCTGGCATTGAAAGAGAGGAAACAGTGCTAATTCCAACATGTGCTTCCCTCTAAATGCAAAGTGGTCCCATAAACCTAGAAAGTGCTGTTGGTGCGTCAGATTTTTATCGGCTACGCTGCTTCGCTTCTTCTTCTTGTTTACTACTGGTGGTTGGCTTTGGACCGAACCACAAACCGAACGCAACACACGCGAATCGAACCGAGACAGTCGAACCAAACTTTCCGGACGGTTTTCAGAAACCGTCCCATCCCTACTATCTATCTATCTATCTATCTATCTATCTATCTATCTATCTATCTATAACATACAGGAGTTTAAACTAATTCCTGAAGGGGATGATTCTGGGAAACTTTGTGCGCACCAAGAAGCTCCAGTTAAAAAGTTTTACAGGCAGAAACAGACCTTTAAACACTGATTAATCACCGTGTCGTCACACTGGTGGGTGGGTTTGTTTGTTCTGCCGGCGTCGTCCTGACAGCGGTTAGGGAAGGTGTTTAAGAGTTTTCTCCAAAATAGATTCATCCTTTCATCCTCTGCTCTGTTAGCCGAATAAAGCTAAGCGTACACATCAGCAGCTTTGAAGTTTTGAGCTGTTTTAAATGGTTAAAAAAAAGAAAAAGCATCTCTTTGTTCTGACAACCTCTTAGACTGTTAAAGCGCCTCCCATATTCCCCAAATTCAGATCATGATCAGGGCTGACTTTGAAGCTCTAAACATGAGCAGAAGTTTTTTTAAAAGCACCTGTTACTCGATTTGTTGTTCTGTAAAACCTGGGGATGAATTACAAACCCAGCCAGACAAGACGGTTTAAGCAACAAACTTCTGCCAACTTACTGTACGTCTGAACGAAACAACGTCATCAACTCAGCAAAGTCAAATCATTTAATCGACTGCTAATAGAGTTAACAGGCTGCTGCACCTCCCACAGCTAAACCAGAGCCCCGCTGGAGCCCGAGACCTCAGTAACGGATCATAGCTGTGTTCCTGTTTTCTGGAAGTCTGCTCTTTCAAACTCACACCCAGAAATAACACCACAGAGATCCTAATCAACTCCCGGAGCCGAGAGCTGGACGGGCCGCTGGCAGTGAGCTGCTAGTGTCCCCATTAACGTGGAAATGCCGCTACTTTAATAGCAGGGAACGCAAGAAAACGACCGGTGGGATCTTTGAGAGCTCAGAAAAGGACAACGACCAGCCCAGAGGTCTGGGCAGAAACCGGGACGAGATGGAACCGAACACTTCTACTGTCTCGGATGCTGTTGAACGTTTGGTGTTTCGGGACGTGCGTCGATCTTTGAGCTGAAATCAGGCA